GTTTAGTCTTCCCCCCAAAGGGAAGATGTGTGACGAAGTGCCCTTCGCTACTTGTGCCTGGAAGGGACTACTTGCTAGCCTCCAGCCTTCCGACTATGGTCCCTGTGCTGATAGCTGTATTTTCCCTGGCAGAAAGGTTTATTTGTGTATTTCTGCCGGGGCGTTCTGGACTTTCAGTGTGTGAGTAGTGCTACCCCAGATAGCTATGCCATGGAGCCTATTCATGTAACAAAAGACTATGGAAAATACTTTGGCTCCATGGCGATTGAACTGTATGTAGGTGATCTGAGCACCATTCGGTAATAATGTGCGCTCAGATCTAAGCTATCTGGGGATATGTTGCATGTATATGTTTTATGTAGTAATTGTAACATTGTGTAATTTTATGTCTTTCTGCAACCATGTGGCAACCTACTGGATAAGAGTCAGCACACCATTGAGAGCCCCCAAAAAAACGCCAAACCTGCTCGGCAACAGGTGAAAGTCAGTGGAAGGGACTTAGGGGGCCTGATTGCACAAGCCACCGTTAATGGAGGCCCAGAAGGAAACTCCATACAGCCCCACGGGCAACACTGACAGGCAAAGCCAGGACCAGATCAGTATAAGTGGAGGGGAGAAAACCGAAGGGGGGGGAGTGGGGGCAGAACGGAAAGAGCCAGGGGGACAAAGGTAAAGCAGAGGAGAGAGGGTGGGGGGCGGGGGAGAGAGACCCAGGGAGGAGGCTCCTGGGCCACCTGAGGTCCTCAACGCCGGTACCGGAGTACCTCGCGTGGCCCCACCGGGCCTACCCACCTTTGGGGGCCCTTGCCACAACCCCACCGTCCCACCGGCCGCGAGGGGATTAAAAAGGCCTTTAGGCAGCCGTCCGCTGCTGGAAAACTGCAGCCCGCCGTCCACCGCCTCTGGCCATGGATGCAGGCTGGGTAGGCCGCACTTCCGGCGCGGCACATGAAGGCTGCGAACCCACCTTAAATGTTGCAGGCTGCGTGTCTGGAGCCCCCCCCTTCTGCCCATTGGAGTGGTCTGGGTGCCAACTCTCACTACTCTTAACCCTGCAAGTGTAATTATTGCAGTATTTTTATAAACTGCAATAATTACACTTGCAGGGTTAACTCCACCTCTAGTGGCTGTCTACTCGACACTTCCTGGTTTCTAGCACAGGAAACCTGTGCTAGAGCATTGCTGGATGTCTTCACTCTGTGTGAGGATCTCCAATGTCACTTATTTCCCCAAAGGAAAACATTGAAATGCATTTTCAATGCTTTCCTATGGGGAGTGCTTCACGCCTTCAGCAACCGGGGATTGGGGGGTGAGAAGATTGTTTTCCTGGCACTGGAGTTTCCCTTTAAACAAAAAAAAAGTATTCTACTCCTTACCACCTTGAAATGGGAGGGAAGGTTGTGGGGCAGCAGAAAACTTCATAGATAAGTCCTTTGCTAATAAATATGCGCTCCCTCTCCCTCTACTTTCCCAGCAACTATATGTTTTGTTAAGTGACTATTGTAACATAGTTTACTATTTTCCAGTGCATATCCACACTTAAGATCAAATCTTGGTCTTTGCATGTGGATATTACTATTTTTACTTTATCGATTTGTACACAGGAGTTAAGCCCTTGATACCATTGGAATGTGTTTTTTTGTTTTTTTTGGAGATTTTATTCAGGGTAGGAGATCTTGAACAAGCAGACCACCATGAACTGGATGAATTGTCTCATTCCACTTGGTATACCTGAAGAGATAGTGTCCTATAGGGGTCCACAATTTGTCTCCTGATTCTGGAAGGCAATCACCAATCAACTAAGAATAAAATTGTGTCATTCGTCAGCCTATCATCCTCAATCGAATGGTGCTGCTGAGAGGACAAACCAGTCCTTAGAACATTATCTACGGTGTTTTATCTCAGACAACCACGATAATTGGTCGAAAAACTGCTTCCCTGGGCTGAATATGCTCACAATTGTAATACGAGGTCCAGTCTATTGTTGATTCCCGTCTCTCCAGGGGAGACCTTCAATACTTGATTCATTGGAAGGGCTATGGTCCTGACGAGAGGTCCTAGGTGGGGGTTGATGAAATCCATGCACCCAGTCGATTCCGGGGTTTCTATTCTGGCTTCCCTGATTGGACTGGTGGTTCCTGCCCAGTGGGTGGTTCTGAGAGGGGGTGTAATGTAAGCCCTTTTACACTTACCTTGGCGGTCTGCCGACCTGCTGATGTTGGGATCCGGCGGACTGCTGCTTCCATGCAGCCTGAGGCTCCAGTCAGCCTCAGGGACTCCAAGCCACTGTGTGCCCATCCCTTTTTACGATGTGGTGCACATGGGCCGGCGTCATGGTGTTGGAAGAGCTCTATGCAAAAGAGCTCAAAGCACAAACCACGCCCCCAACTATATAAAAGTTCAGTCTGCCCAAAGCAAAGTGCCCTTTTGTGATTCCTAGTGTTCTTTGTGTCACTAGTGTCCTTATAGCGCGTCCCTGTATCCTTTGTGGTATATATTTGGTTTTGACCCGGCTTCCTCTCAACTATTCTGTTTTCTGGCTTCCTTGACTCAGCTTTGTTCCTCGTACTTGTGTATTTCTGGCTTCCCTTGATCTTGGCTTGTTCTGATGTTCCTTAAGTATATTCTTTATTCCGACCATTCTAACCACCGGTTTAGGGACCTTCTTTCTGTCTGTTCTCACCTGGTGGGTTTTCATTCTGCGTGCTGGGTTGTATGTTACAGTACAGTTATGAATAGGTGGATAGTATTAATAAAGAGACCTTGCTCAAATATTCCAGAGCCAAAAGAACCTGTCTCTGGGATATACAACTTTGGTGTCGCTAAAAGGAAAACCTTCCTTATTTTATGCAGGAAGCAGAGTTGAATTGAAGTATAAGACTAAAAATATAAAATAAACAGTAAATGTATTAACTCCGTAAAACAGTATAAAACAATAAAATCAATAGATTAGATAAAGTCTATAAAGTGCTTTAATCCACCCATAAACGTTTCACAATGACCAGTGGGTTTATCAATTAGTGTCTGCTTCCTTTCCCACTAATCCTTTTAAATTGCATGTCCAATCCTTTATTCGTCCGGATGTTTAACCAATCACAAGCATTCTTTTCAGAGGGTATGTCTCTCCCATCTGTAGCTCATTCTTGTAATTTATTTTAAGGAAGTGAAGCTATCGCTACTCACATCACTTCTGTAAGGAGGTCCGGATGCCATCTTGTTTATGGGCATGTTGTGGACGTATACATATCCTCAATAATTGACATATCGGCTATAGTGGCACGTCACTCTCTTATTAATAAGTTCATCATCTATATTGTCCACAAGGGGGCATTAACTCATTCTATATCTAGATGAAAAGAAAAATCCTCTGGGCTTGTCCACATATGCAACAAAGGTATAGAAGGCAGATATAAATTTCCATACAATGTATTACATACATTTATTCAAATCATAGTGTATCCTTAGGTTATGAAACTTTCAGTGTGTGATACTATAGGTCAAGGTTAGTGTTCTATAGAGGAGAAACGGGTTACATTTCTCCAAATTAACGTTAATATAAAACTGTATATACAATAATTAATATATAAATGGAAACATGTCTATATAAAAATAGGTCCATATAAAAATAAATATCACATAAAAACCCTGTATATTTATTGTCTTTAAAAACCACCAAAGTTCCATTACCCTAAAATCATTGTAAAAAACAAAGGTAGTTCATGTTACAGAAAATGGCAGAGTTTGAAGTCATTATTTAATTTGTATAGTATCAGTGTATTCAGATTGAAAATCTGCTTAATTTCAGTCTGTTCCATCAGTGTAATCATATCTTTACCTATCCAATTTGTTTCTACTTTTTGTATTCCAAAGAATTCTAAATTGCTTGGATATTTATTATGTTTGATCTCGTAGTGTAATAATAACTTGTTTTTCATATCCATTTTTCATATTATGGATGTGTTCTTGTATACGTACATTCAATGTACGGGATGTCCATCCTATATATGAGTCCACATGGGCATTTAATCAACTAAATCACTCGAATAACCATGACTTGTTTATATGAAAAATATTATTCTTCTGAGTAAAGTCTTTTATTAGACGTTTGTGACTATGAGTATTTTTGCAGGCTCCACATTGATTACAACCGTTAAAACCTTTTGATTTATTTAAAAATGTGTTGTTTGCTTTTTTTGTTTTTTTTTGTCTTCACTTGATTATGTACACAGCTATTACTTAGATGAGGTACTCAATAGACTGGAAGGGGAAGTAACCAAACTAGAATAGGTAGAATGCAACCTCACTAAGATTACCTCAAGTATAAATCATTTAAGGTAATGGCTAACAAAAAATAACAATTTTATTTACAAGTCTACATGGAAACTTACAAATCCCTGTATATTAATAACAATAGAAATTAGAAAGAAACACAGCACTGGTTAGGAATGGAACAAGTCCATCCGCCAGGTTGTGATGGTTGAGAGATACAATGGGGCCTAACCCCTAGAAGTGCAAAGAGAAAATAGGACTAATGGGTTGCAGATGATAAACAATCTGCCTCCCAAAAAGACCTTGTATCCTTATGTGAAAAAAGCTACTCTGCAATCAGGGGCGTATGAGCCGCGAGGCAAACAAGGCATTTGCCTTGGGCGGCATTTTTCAGGGGGCGGCAAAAAACGCCGCCCCCCCAAATGCCCAAGGCCTCGCGGCTAACAGACATTCTGGGCGCTGGGCGGCAGTGGCTGCAGCGCTGGGCGGGCGGCCGGCGAGGGAGCTCTTCCCCTGAGCGCTCTGCTCAGCTCCCTCGCGCGCCGCCAGCAGAGTGAGGCTGGGAGCCGGGTTGATGACGTCATATTCAGGCTCCCAGCCTCACTCTGCTGGCGGCGCGCGAGGGAGCTGAGCAGAGCGCTCAGGGGAAGAGCTCCCTCGGCGGCCGCCCGCCCAGCGCTGCAGCCACTGGACCCCAGGGAGAGGAAGAACCCCCCCCCAGCATTACCAAAGGTAAGGAGGCTGGGGGGGGGTTAAATAAAAAAAATAAAAAAAACACTAGTGTGTGTGTTGAAGTCTGTTAGTGTGTGTATGTATGTTAGTGTTAGTGTGTGTATGTATGTGTGTGGATGTCTGTTAGTGTGTGTATGTTAGTGTGTCTGTTAGTGTGTGTATGTTAGTGTTTGTGTCTGTTAGTGTGTATGTTAGTGTGTGTTAGTGTGTGTATGTTAGTGTGTGTGTGTGTTAGTGTGTATGTTAGTGTGTGTTAGTGTGTGTTAGTGTGTGTATGTTAGTGTGTGTGTGTGTGGATGTCTGTTAGTGTGTGTCTGTAAGTTAGTGTGTGTGTGTCTGTTAGTGTGGATGTCTGTTAGTGTGGATGTCTGTTAGTGTGTGTGTTTGCCTGTTAGTGTGTGTGTGTGTTTGCCTGTGAGTGTGTGTGTGTGTTTGCCTGTGAGTGTGTGTGTGTGTTTGCCTGTGAGTGTGTGTGTCTGTTAGTGACTGTGTGTTTCTGTTAGTGACTGTGTGTTTCTGTTAGTGACTGTGTGTTTCTGTTAGCTAGTGAATGCGTATCTGTCAGTGAATGTGTGTGTGTGTATTTAGAAGGCGGAGCAGGGGGGAAGGTTGGGTGGCGGTTGCGCGGGTGGGGGTGGCGCGGGGGGGTGCTGGAGTTTTGTCCTGCCTAGGGCAGCACAAAACCAGGATACACCACTGTCTGCAATTAGAAATTAGTGATGTACCGAACGGTTCCTGGCGAACATAGCGTGTTCGCGTCCGCCGAGGACTGCGAACGCATGCGCGTTTCGATCCGCACCCTATTCGTCATCATTGAGTAAACTTTGACCCTGTACCTCACAGTCAGCAGACACATTCCAGCCAATTAGCAGCAGACCCTCCCACCTACTGGAAGGCATCCATTTTACATTCATTCTCAAGCTGCATGCTTAGTGAGAGGAGGGAAAGTGTAGCTGCTGTTGATTAGATAGGGAAATGCATAGCTAGGTTAGGGTTAGGGTATGCTTTTTTTTTTTTGTGTAATGTAATTGCAGTTAGTTGTCTGCCACTGCTGCCAGCTTCTGTGTCAGGCTCACAGTGGATACTGTGCCCATTTCCCCAGTCAGTGCCACCACTTATATCTGGTGTCACAATAGCTTGCATTTAAAAAAAAAACAAACTTTTTTTCACTGTTATAGATTGAATAGCAGTCAGTGTCCTTAAAGCGGGTGTGTTAAGCTCACAGTGGATACGGTGCCCAGTGCTACCACTCACTGGTGTCACAATAGCTTGCATTTAAAAACAAAAAATGTTTTCACTGTTATAGATTGAATAGCAGTCAGTGTCCTTAAAGCGGGTGTGTTACGCTAACAGTGGATACGCTGACAAGTGCCACTAATTAGATCCTGTGTCACAATAGTTTGGATTTAAAAAAAAAAATAATCTTTTTTCACGGTTATAGATTGAATAGCAGTCAGTGTCCTTAAAGCGGGTGTGTTACGCTAACGGTGGATACGGTGACCAGTGCCACCACTTAGATCTGGTGACACAAAGCTTGTATTTAAAAACAAAAAACACTTTTTTCACTGTTATAGATTGAATAGCAGTCAGTGTCCTTAAAGCGGGTGTCAGGCTCTGCAGACCTCTGCCTGTGTACTTTGCCACTCATATCTGGTGTCTCTGTAGGGTGCTTTTACAAAGAAAAAAAGGTTTCCAGTGTAAGCTAATAGCAGCCAGTCAGTGTCCTTCAAGCGGCTGTGTCAGGCCTACAGCCTGTGCTCTGCACAACTGTGCCAGTGCACATTGCCACTCATATCTGGTCTCACAGTAGCTTGCAAGCATAGTACCACTAATCCCAAAAAAAATGACAGGCAGAGGCAGGCCACCCCGCAGGGGCCATCGTGGTCGTGGTGCTGTGATTCCCTTTGGCCCTAGAATAATACCCAGTTTTCAGAGGCCACGTACCCTGAACTTGAAAAGTTCTGAGGACATAGTTGACTGGCTAACACAGGACACCCAATCTTCTACAGCCTCCGCTCAGAACCTTGACGCACCATCCTCCTCCAGCTTAGCTTCAGGCACCTCTCAAGATACCACTCACCAGCCTGCCGCCACCACCAAAACTAGCACCACAGCCGCTTCAGTTGGTATGTCAGAGGAGTTATTCACACATCCGTTTGAAGAAATGAGTGATGCACAACCATTATTGCCAGAGGATGTAGATAACAGGGATATGTCTCAGGCAGGCAGCATTACACACATGGACGTACGGTGTGATGATGATGATGATGTTGTACCCGCTGCTGCTTCCTTTGCTGGGTTGTCAGATACAAGTGAAGCGGTTGATGATGACGATGCGTCCATGGATGTCACGTGGGTGCCCGCTCGTCAAGAAGAAGAACAGGGCAAAAGTTCAGATGGGGAGACAGGGAGGAGGAGGAGACGAGTTGGAAGCAGGGGGAGGTCGTCGCAAGGAGCTAGTGGCACAGTCAGACAGCATGCATCGGCACCCGGGGTCAGCCCGACAGCACGCCAATCAACGCATACTGTGTCCACCACCAGAATGCCGTCATTGCAGAGCTCAGCAGTGTGGAATTTTTTTTGTGTGTCTGCCTCTGACAACAGCGATGCCATTTGCAACCTGTGCTAAAAGAAACTGAGTCGTGGGAAGTCCAACACCCACCTAGGTACAACTGCTTTGCGTAGGCACATGATCTCACATCACAAACGCCTATGGGATCAACACATGAGTACAAGCAGCACGCCTACTCTAAGCCGCCATCCTCCTTCTGGTCCAGCATCTTCAGCCACGTCAACCACTGCTGTCCTCCTTGCCCCCTCTCAACCATCCGCCACTCCGTCTCCCGCCTTGAGCAGTTCCCGCTCATCTGCCCACAGTCATGTGTCTGTCAAGGACATGTTTGAGCGTAAGAAGACAATGTCAGAAAGTCACCCCCTTGCACAGCGTCTGACAGCTGGCTTGTCCGAACTATTAGCCCGCCAGCTTTTACCATACAAGCTGGTGGAGTCTGAGGCGTTCCAAAAATTTGTAGCTATTGGGACACCGCAGTGGAAGGTACCCGGCCGAAATTTCTTTTCACAAAAGGCAATCCCAACCTGTACTCGATTGTGCAAAA